CTGAAGTGCTGAGAATGCCAGAAAGAGACCTATATTCTCTCTTCATCATCTCTCCCATCTCTCATGTACCTGAAGATGTTTTTAAAAATCAGTTTGATCTCTTCATTATCACACAGCAGTTGTTTATGTTTCTCTCATTTCAATTTTATAATTAGGACATTAGGGTCACAGTATAAGCTTCCCCCAAAATCTTCTAAAGGAGAGACAGAAGATTGCTTTCAGGGAGTTATTTTGTGAAACCATCAGGGAAGAGGTAACCTTACATCAGGCAAAGCCACCTCAAAGAAATAAAATGGCTGCCGGGCTTGTCAGATTGGACTGATTGTATATGTTTTATCTAATGTCAAAACCCTCCTAATTTGGGGATGGATGTAAGTAAGCAAGCTCAGGCTAATGACAACAACCAGTCAGATTGCCTACTTTCCCTCATCTTGAGATTCTTGACTCACCAAGCAGCATTCTGATCGTAACTTGACTTTGTTTACGCAGTTGTCTACAAGGAAAGCATAAGCTGGTACTCAGAATTTGAACATGGATGCAGACTCTTCCAAAGCTTTTGTTGGTTAAATATTTTCATACTTATCTGAGACGGTATAAGGCAGAGGGCATGGTGATGACGACCGTCATCATAGCATCTCCCTTCCCGTCCTCCGGCCTCCGTCCTCCTGGAGATTCCCAGCGCTTCCCTCTTTTGTGGCAGGCATCCAGTGTTCACTGTTTCAAGTCATCTTCTTTTATAGTTACCTCTTTTTGGTGGGGTGCATCCTTCAGGGGCTTCCTCAGAATATGAGAGGTTTCAGGGCACCTGGGTGGCTCAGTTGGTTAAGCGACTACCTTCGGCTCAGGTCATGATCCTGGAGTCCTGGGATCGAGTCCCACATCCGGCTCCCGGCTCAGCGGGAAGCCTGCTTCTCCCTCTGACCCTATCCCCTCTCATGCTCTCTCTCTCTCTCATTCTCTCTCTCAAATAAATAAATATAATCTTAAAAAAAAAAAAGAATATGAGAGGTTTCAAAAAAGAAACAGAGATGTGAGACCTTGCCCTTGCATTTTTAAAAAGTCTTTATTGTCTCTTCCCATTTGATGGATATTTTGTTTGGGTAGAGGTTTGTATGTTTGTTTTTGGTAGAAAATAATATCCCTTCAGAATTTTGAAGGCATTTTTTTAAGTGCCTTCTATCTTCCAGGGTTAGGAAGTCTGTTGCCAATCTATTTTCTGCTCCTTTGTGAAGTCCTGTTTCTTTATTTCCAGAAGCTTGGGGAACCCTCTCTTTGTTCACAGAATTCTGAATTATGAAAACCATGCGCCTTACTTTACTTCCCTTGTGTTGACACCTGGTGAGCTCCTTCTGAGAAGAAATTTTGAATTGTTTTGTTACTGATTTCCTGTCCTTTGGTTTCTCTATTTTCTTGTTCTGGGCCTTCGATTATTTGGATTCTGGACTCTGACTGGTCCTCTAGTTTTGTTTTTTTGTTTTTTGGGGGGTTTTTTGGTGAGTAAAGCAACAGAAATTTATTAAGTGAAGATACAGAAAAAGCTCTCAAGAGTGATAGGGGTCCCGACAAGGTTGAGACAAGGTTGCCAATGAGGGCCTTTCGGGTTGGTCTTTTATAGAAAGCTAACCAGGGAACTTAAATCCTTTTAACATCTCTATTGATAACACCTTCAATGGCTTACTTCCTTTTTAGGGGCTGGTTATTCTTTGTTGGTCACAGGTGATTATCATAAAGTCCCTCACCCCCACAAGCCTAGGGCAGGGTGGGTCCCTCCCCCGCCCACCCCAGGTCCTCTTGCTTTTTTATAGTATCTTGTTCTTATTTCATGGATGCAACAGCTTTCCTTTTCTCCCTGAAGATATTAATGTTTTTCTTTTTTTAACGTTCTCTTCACTCTCTATGGTTTCACTTCCTTTTAAGTTGCTTTTTTCTGTTTGTTTTGGTTGCTGCCTTTCTCATTTGAGGCTTTTCTTGGGCCTCATATAGTCTCTGGTTGTGTGCCCATGGTTAAGAGTAGGGTGCTGTTGGAAGCTCTGGGCTTCACTGTGGGGTTATTTGGCTGGTTCATTTGCTGGGGAACCCCAGTGTCAGAATTTGCAGATCTTTCCTCCTGAGCTTCCCCCCGCAAAGTCTTCCAATATTTTCCTTGGACGGTGTAAAGTCTGGCTGCCTGCTTTGTCAGAAGCCAGTGAGGGAAGAAGGCTGGGGAGCCCCAGCATTCAGCAGTTAGTATGTACTTAATCATTTAATCCTCTGTTTTTGGAACAGTATCCACGATCTCAGCTGTACCAAATGTCCTCCATTTTACACTCTCCAAAAACAAAACTCCAGCCTTCTACTAGGTAGGGGGAAGAGTGCTCCCTGTTGGAATAGAATAGGGGAAGGGATCTAGGGACTTGATAGTTTCCAAAACAGATTTTCCACACCCCTTCCCTCCCACTGCCATAGAATCTTGGCTGCCAGTTTCTGCACCTTTGCAGAATTCTTTGGGATAAATTGGTTAGTCTTCCATTTTCCCCTCTTCGGGCTTAGATTTTAGCATTCCAGGATCTGTTGTCAGTTTTCATTCATCTACCTGTTTTCCAGATTCCAAAATGTGTCGCTATTATCTCTTCTCCTGTTTTCTCTGGCCATTTTTGTCTTAAAAAAAAAAAAAAAATCTCAGTGTAATTATCAGGTTTAGAGAGGGAGTGCAATTAGATGGGTTTGTTTAACCCACCATCTTAATCCAGAAGTCCTTTGAAACACTTTCTTCAGTTGGCTCTGGTGACACGGTTTTCCTGAGTGTTGCCCTGCTTTCCTCTCTGCTCAACCCCAGCCTCTTGCTAAATCCCTCTCTGCTTTCTGACTTCTACCTGTTGTAGGGCCTCAGGACGTTGACCTTCTCTTCTCTTTCTGTATTCACTCCTTAAGTGGCTTCATCCAGTCCCTTTGCTTCAAATGCCATCCATATGCTCATGCTTCCCAAATTTCTATTTCCAGTCTGACCTTCCTTGTGAATTCAGAACTGCCTACCCAGAATATCCTTTAGATGTCCAATAAGCAGCTCAATATATCCACCTTTCCCTCCTCAAAACCAGCTCTTCCCTCAGCATTCTCCTCAGGAAAGGGCCCCACCATGGACCAGCTTCTCAAGCTAAAACCTTGGTGTGATTCCTTGATTCCTCTCTGTCTCTCATATCCAATCTCAGAAAGTCCTGAAGACTGTCCTTTTAAAATATAGCCCAAACCTGGCCACTTCTCTCTGCCATAACCATACTTCGGATGTTGACTTAAGCAGAGAAGCTTCCTAGAGCATCCTACCTAAGAATGCACCCTTCCAGCCCAGCACCCTCTGTACATATGTGTATATCCAATTCCAACCCAACACCACTGAACAGATCCTATTTTTCTCCCTTCCCATATTTGTACTTCCTTCTTCGGCAATGAAAAACTTGGCTCCTATCATCATCCGCTAAAAAGGATCTTGGAGATAGAGTCTAAGGCCCTGGCATTTCAGAGAAGGAAAAGTAATAAAGAAGTGAAGTGAGTAGCTAACTCAGGATGACACGAGGGGGTTTTGATGTTTGAGGATTGTGTCATAATGTGCTCAGCTTTAGACGAGCATTACTAATATGCTATTACAATTTACTTTTAAATGCTCCTTTTGCATGATTTCTTTTGGGAAATGTTTTTAGAGACTAAAGTGGCTTGGCACTGATAACCTTAATATTTAAGTCATTAAATAATCAGAATACGTCCCATTTTTTTCTGGACAAAAAGTGGAGGCGGCGGCGGGGGAGCATTTTCCATAGAAGGTCCTCTTCTTAGTTGTATTTTTCTAGGCCTTCTTTCTAAACAGGTGAGTTTTCCTAGCATTGTACCTCTGTGGCACTAGGACAAGGGAGAGAATTTGGAGAGAAGCAACTTCAAGCCCAGGGACATGGTTCTGGTCCAGAAACGTCCCAGCTCTTCTTCCTGGCAGTGACCTCTTCATTTCCTCCACGTTGGCCCATCCTCTGATCTTCTTGAGAGGATTTCCTGAACATCTGGTCTGTGACAACAGTGGTCTCGGGGCCCCTCCCAGAGCCTAGAAGTGACTTGTTTTGGTCACCTTAACACAAGTACTCCAGAGTTTCCTCCCTGGTTTACTTATTAGTTCTGGCTGAGGACCATAACACCATTGTTTAATGTTTGATTCATAAAAACAGTAAGTCCTGCTGGTGGGTGCAGGGCCCTAAAAATAAACGTGCTCTCTCTGTAGTTATTTCACTCATTGCCCAGTATATTTTTTAAATGCTCCCAGAAGAGGCGCCTTTTTCTAATTCGCATGAAGGATCTGCTGGGGCTATTGGTTGCCCTGGCTGTCTAAGCTGAGCGTCAGGGGAAGAAGTGCTGGGAGCAATGGGACCACGTTTAGACTCTGTGGTAGAGGACAAGGCAGAAAGATGGGGAGCGGATGCAGCTAGCCACCCGAGAGAAGCAATGTGGGCAAAGAACCAAGATGCCTATGTGGGGTTTTAGTCATTATTCACTTTTGTTACGCAGTATGCAAGGTCAACCTCTTCCCTATCAGCAGTAAAATCTCCATTACCTAAAAAAAATGCTGCCTGGGGAGTGTTGAGAAACCATGTGCCCACGCATGAAAGATGAATTCGGTCTCAAGGCATCAGTTTGGGGCAACTTGAAGAAAAAAAAAAAAAGCAACACCTTTTATGCTGTATGTGAACTAACTTTTCATCAACGAAAAGCTCCTTGTAGAAATGGAGCTCAGGTTAGCAGGCAGGTTTCCAGTGGCATCACAGATGATTGAGGTAGGTGGTCATAAATACTTGCGGAAACCCCTGTGAGTCTTCACGGTCCCTTCCTGTAGAAGGAGATGACTTAGATGCTCTGTGACTTAGATGACTGGATGTGTCACTACTTAAGCCTGTCTTACTTTCTTTTTTTTTTTTCTTTTTTTGAGCTGAATTCCATGGCTACACTAAAGAATGTGTTTTTGTTGCTTCTTTATTTTTTATTAGGGTACCAGAACATCTTGTGAAGAGCATAACTTGGCAGACATTGCAAGCTGTAAATTTTTGCCATAAACACGATGTAAGTCTCATGATCATCCTTGAAAAATCAGAAGGCTGCCCTTAAACTGAGGTAGAGCCTTTGTACAAAATTTATATCCTACTTTTGTGGATATGCTTTTTCACCTAAGTCTTCTGAAGCCTGGTGGGGAGCCGTAGAGGCTAAAAACGCCAACCTAGCCATTCTTTCTTCTTCAGGTTACATTAAAGATGTGTTTTTGTGATTTTAAGAAAGTAGTTATAGATGTATATTGATGAGACGCTACTCAGATTTAAAGGAGAATCCCATTCACTTGGAGTCCGCTTTGGTCTGGCACCCTGACAATGCTCTGAAGTCTGGGGGGGACCCCAGGGGGCTCATGCCTGTTGAGTCACAGTAGGCGGAGTCCCAAGCGCCATGCACAAATGCAGGTGTCTGTTGGTGAGATATGAGTGCCAAGGCTGGAGCAGAGCAGCCCCGTGGACACCTCTGATACTCCTGGCCAGAGCCAGGGTGGGGGGCACGGTGGACTGCTGCCCAGGAGGTGAGTGGGAAGGTGCTGGGAAGGTGGATCCTCCCTCCAGAACAACAATGCCCACTCCCTGCACGCAGAGGCCAGATGCCAATATTAGACCTTCAGTTTGGCCACCGGGGCAACTTGCCTGCACTATGTCATCTCATCTACTGCCTGGGTCAGTTTAGCTGGTGGGGGCTGAAGCCCCTGCCGTGGGCTGTTCTAAGTGATGTCTTCCTGAAGCTGCCTTCCTAGAAGTAGAAAATATGCAAGTAGCCAGTCCTTCTCCTGAGTGAGCCTCCACCTAGCCTAAGGCTACAATCCTCATCAAAATGCATGGATCCCAGGGACCATGGACACCTTATCTTGCTATTTATAGCAAGTGAGGGTTAGCACTTTCCTGGAAGCAGGTTTTAGGATGGGGGGAGCAAGAGGGACCTCATAAAGGTCCCGGTGAGGAAAATCAGAGACACTGAAGACAAATACAATGCATACCACTGTTCCCTGGAGAGTTCCCAAAGCTCTGGTCGGGAAGATGTGGGGAGGGTGTAGGAACTTGTGAAGAGTTCCCAGAACAGAATAGGAACACATTCTTGCCTACGAGTCCTTCTGACCATCTGTCATCATGATATTCATGGGTGTACCCGTTCAGAGTAATATGCGAATATGCGAAGAGGAATGGTGATCTTGGGGCCATTAACTGCTGAGAACCAGATAGATAGTAATAGAATAATTCAGAAATTGTCCCTCCCCCAAATTTTCCAGAATAATAAAAACCCATGGGGAAACACTGACACTGATCTCTCACCCTGAACGTCCTTTGGAGGGAGAACCAGGCCAGGCCCAAGAAGAACCTCTGTCCTCTCTCCAAATTCTAGAAAGTCAGTAATACCCCAGGGTTTCAGCTGCAAGCCAAAGAGGGTCTCTCAGATTGCAGCGGGATCCAACATTCTTCTCCCGAGAGGCAAAGGCTTGGAAGAAGCGAGGATTATTAGGAACCCCGAACGGGATTTTGACTCAAACGTTGTTTTTATGTAATCTTTAATTAGGTTGTTGATTTGTGCTTTGCCAAGAGAATTGTTATTTAATAAGAAAATCATGTGAAGATTCATAAACTCTCTTCTAACATTAGCCTGTTAAACAATGTCAGCTGTGGTTTGGAAACCACAGGTGATTTGAGTCTGAATTAGGGCGTGGGGGCCACGTCCCGCGGGGGTGGATGGAGCTCTAAGAACTCTGGTGTGTGGGACGGAGCTGACATCTAGCGACTCTCCCCAGAGGTTAAGCGCTGCCTATCCTTGTTTATCTTGTCAGGACGAATGTCAAGAGCTGGAAGGGAGGTCTCTTGGCAAGCTCGCATTCCCGCCCTTCTCTTCCCTCGCTTATCTCAGCAGACCCAGGGCTTGTCCTGTTTACCAGGCGGACTGTGTTCTGTTCTCAAACAACTGAACTGTGAATTCTGCTTATACATCAACTTGCAGCTCCAGCAGGCATGATGCAGGCCTCACCCAGAGCCTTTTAACATTTTCCCTTTCCTCTAGGGTTGCCAGATTATGTGTAGGGCACCCAGTTAAATTTGAATTTCGGATAAACAGTCATAACTTTTTGGTATAAGTATGTCCCAAAGACTTCATGGGGGGTATACTTATACTAAAAACTTATTTGTTGTTTATCTGGCTACCCTCCCTTTCATTTTTCCTTTCTTCCTTTTTGGTCCTTTTGGGCCCTTTAGGAATTTGGGATGATACAGGCCATAATGAGTATGGTACTAGATTTATTTTAGGCTGCTATTTTGCAGCCTTTTATCCAAAAGGCCAGTCAGAGGTTTTAATGATTTCTCAAATGTTTGCTAAATATTCATGAGTTATATTTACCCCATATATTATAGTTGCTCCTTGATAATCTGTTTTTATTTTTATTTTTATGACTAGTGCATACATAGAGATGTGAAGCCAGAAAATATCCTCATCACAAAACATTCAGTGATTAAGCTCTGTGACTTTGGATTTGCTCGGCTTTTGAGTGAGTATTGATGTTTCCTTAAGTAATTGTAAAAGACAGAAAGATTCTTTATATGAGAAAGGCTCTAGATGCTATAGAAAGCTAGTTTTTATATATTTTGGGCTTGAGCTTGCCCTAAATTACAAATCTTTAATTACTGAAAACATGTAATACATATAGTGTTTTAAAAACGTATGCTGTATGTAAATTATACCACAGTAAAGTGGTTATTAAAAACTATGTTATTCTCCTGGTCTCTATCTTTTTTTTTTTGCTAAAATAGTACTTCTGAGAAATTCTATTTTAGAAGAGTGGTTTTCAACTTTGGCTGCAGATTAGAATCATCTGGGGAACTGTAAGTTGTAACTATAAAACTATACTGATCCCTCCCCAGGCTCTCCCCCAGAATTTCTGGTCTCATTGGACTGAGATGGGGCCCAAGCATTCGTAATTTAACAAATACTATATTCCGACTAACTTGAATATGCAACCAGTATTGAGAACCATTGATTCAGAAAAGCCGTAAGATGGGGCACAAGCTTGATTTTTTAGGTCTTCCCCCTGCCAGTTCGGATTCCAGTCTTCCGTTGTTGTCTCTCTTTCCCATGTACCATCGCTGGCAGCTGGACCGAGTGACTACTACACAGACTACGTGGCCACCAGGTGGTACCGCTCCCCAGAACTCTTGGTGGGGGACACGCAGTATGGCCCCCCAGTGGATGTTTGGGCAGTTGGCTGTGTCTTTGCTGAGCTGCTGTCAGGGGTCCCTCTGTGGCCAGGAAAGTCAGATGTGGATCAGCTCTATCTGATCAGGAGGACCTTGGGTAAGTGGTGTTTTTGTCACAACTTTTGGGAAACTCAATAGTTTTACCTATGTCAACGTTCCCAGTCTCATTCAGTGCCCTTTACAGTTATGAAGAAGGGGTCCTCTAGAAGCCTTATTTAAATAATTCCATTAAAGGTGTCCACATTTGGGGGCGCCTGGCTGGCTCAGTCAGTAGAACATGTGACTCTTGATCTCAGGGTCATGAGTTTGAGCCCCGAGTTGGGCATAGAGATACTTAAAAAAAAAAAAAAAAGTGTCCACCTTTGTTTTAATAAAAAGAATTAGTGGGGCGCCTAGGTGGCTCAGTCGTTAAGTGTCTGCCTTCGGCTCAGGTCATGATCCCAGGGTCCTGGGATCGAGCCCTGCATCTGGCTCCCTGCTCCACGGGGGGCCTGCTTCTCCCTCTCCCGCTCCCCCTGCTTGTGTTCCTGCTCTCGCTGTGTCTCTATCAAATAAATAAATAAAATCTTAAAAAAAAAAAAAAGAATTAGCGATTATGAGTACATACTAATCGTCCAAAAAGACACAAGGTTCTCTCTTCAGTATTGTTTGAATGAAGTTAAACTCTGAATAAGGATCATAGCAACAATATAAAAGCTTACATTTCTGTAAGGGCTTAGCAGTTTGCAGAATGCAGTTGTCTTTTATTTCGTTTGTTATGCTATGGTAGTTCATTCTTCGGAGATCCTTCACTCTAGCCTGCCAAGCTAGATTGGATCATTTAGATACTATAGAAGAAGATTCTAAACCTTCTATGTGTCAGGAAGAACAGCTGGATCTTCTGGTATCACTCTTTGTCTCTACTCTTGGGGTATGATGGGGGAGGGAAGGGGTGGAGAAGAGAGACTTGGAGCGGGATGGAGGAAAGCTGTATAAGCAGTGACTGCCCCCTTCAAAAGTCGGGCACTTTAGGATGCCTGGGTGGCTCAGTCAGTTAAGCGTCTGCCCTCAGCTCAGGTCATGATCCTGGGGTCCTGGGATCAGCCCCTCACATCAGACTCCCTGATCAGTGAGGAGTCTGCTTCTCCCCTCCCCCTCCCCTCTCCTGCCCTTCCTCCTCCTCCTGCCCTTCCCCCTCCACAGCCCTTCCCCCTGCCCTTCTCCCTCCCCTTGCTCTGTGTGCTTTTGTTCTCTCTTGCTCTCTCGCTATCTCTCTCAAATAAAAAAAAAAAGCCTAAAAAAAAAAAAATCAGGGAGTTTAGCTACTGCTCCCCAGTTTAAAGCAAACTTCCTCCTCTAAACTCTTGCAGTACCTGCCCTCACCTTGTCTTGTCTTGCGCTTTTACCTTCCCAAAGATACTGTCACCTACCTGAGGGTAAGATCCTGTCTTACATTTCAATATGTCCTCCACCACTGTCTGCACACAGTAGGCAGGAAGTATTTGCTGACAGGTCTTTTGAGTGACCGGTGAGGCGCCTTGGAGTGCTTCCACGTGCAATCAGCATTCCTTTGCTGTTTCCCCTGGTGATTTTAGGGCAGTCTCTTCACATCCATGCTTCCAGCGCTCTGATGGAAGACCGTTCTTAAGGTACAAGCAGGGTGCTCATGATGAAGCTCGCTGAGATCTGGGGCCAGGCAGTAGAGAGTATATTTTGGCCACTTGTACAAAATGGGACAAGACAGCAGCTTTTGGATTTGAGTGCAAGGTACAGTTCCAAAACAAATCCGCAAAATTAGGCAGTTTGATACCTTGGGGTAGCATTTCTGGGGCCCTGGTTGGGAGGTTTTTGTTGTCCACTCTGCTTTGGCGAGGGGGCCTGAGTGGGCCCCGGGGGTGCCCTGCTGCGTATCTCCTGATGTTCTCTGAACAAAATTCCTCTTCACGTGTAATATCCCTAGAATTTTACACGAGGGTGATTTTAACTGATTTGGCTAAAATGTGGACAGGGCGAGCCTCACATCATCCTCCAGAATGTAGAAATGCTTCTTTTTTTTTTCATTGAATCATATTGTAAGTGCTCTCCAAGCAGTAGATAAAATGGGATTTCCAAGTGATTACTATTTAATGAAACAAGAAAAGTGGTTCCAATTTGGAAACGTATTCCTTCTAGCTAGAAGATCTATGATTCCCTCCCTCCCTCCCTTTTTTCTTCCTCCCTCCTTCCATCCTCCCTCCCTCCTTCCATCCTCCCTCCCTCCCTTCCATCCTTCTTCCTTCTCTCCTTTCATCCCTCTTCCTTCCTCTCTTCCTCTTTCCCCACTTTCCTCAAATATTTATTGACAGGCACTATTCTAAGTGCTAGGCCAATACACTTTTATATTGACCCATCAGAATTCAATGAATAGGATTTTGCTTTGTACTTGTTGCACTTAGGCTATTTTTTAAAAAGGCATTATTTTATTTGTGTGTGTGTATGTGCTTCTGAGCTGTTTGGATTCCTCCAGTACACTGTGAGTCCTTGAGGGACCGTGACCTTGTAGCCTTCAGTGCCCATGCATGCCTCCTCTACACCTGACACTGCTTCAGCCCCTGAGGCCTCAGGACAAGCTGTGGAGGGTCGCCTCAATGCTTCCCTCCGACCGAAAGAGCAGACTACAGCCTTCCTTGGTAGTGGGCCCAGACACAGCCTGGAGGGAGAGAAACCACAGGTCAGCGCTTGCTAACTGATCTCATTTTACCCACCTTTCTTCTTGTCCAAAGGAGATCTTATTCCTAGGCACCAACAAGTGTTTAGCACGAATCAGTACTTCAGTGGGGTGAAAATTCCAGACCCTGAAGATATGGTGAGTGACCCGATTTGGAAAGCTCTCTGCACGTCAGGGCTAAGGTTACCAGGGTGTGTATGTGGCGATCATTCTCTTTACATGGGGAGTTGCAGGCTGACAGGATTTCGGTAGCTACTCAGCTGCCTGAGCCCCACCGCCCACTCTGCGCTGGAAGGTGAGTCTCAACGTGAAAAAGAAAAGTGGGGCCAATTGGCTAGCAGACCCCGGCCTTCGTGAGAATTCAGAAGTTGCTGAGAGCTAGCCAGCATGTTGGACAGGAATGCCGAACCACCTGCCCTGAGCTCACCTGTTCTTCATCATTTTCAGCAGCTGAAGCTGTAGGTATAGCTCACGCAGTGACTTAGCCAGGAAACTCCAGCATCGCCCAAGTCCCCTACTCTCCTCTACTCCTGCTGCCCAGACTGTGCCAGGAGCCAGTGAGGAACTTGCTTGGCCAGCCTCATTCTGGTATCCGTCCTCTATGGCCAGTGTGGAGAAAATACTCATTTTTTAAAACTAAAAAATTTGAAATGTGCATACTCTTAACCCACTTTCAAGAATTTTTTGCAGTGAAACCAGTATACAGGGGCGTAAATATGTAGCATTCTTTAATAGAAATTGTTTCCTTTAGTGTTCCATCAGTAGGGGATTCATTAAATAAGTTATGGTATATCCTTACAATAGAAATACCAGAGAGCCAGTAAAAGTAATTAGATTTATATGTATTCACCTGAGAAAAAGTCCATAATGTACTGCTAAATGAAAAAAGAGGTTATAAAACAGTATATGTAATTTGACAAAATTTTAATACATGTTTAATAAATACACAATTCACGTATACATATATTTACATATATAAATATAAAATAACATGACAACTTCTGGAAAATCATGCAAAGCTTCTTACATTTGTGAAATAAACGGTTGCAAGGATATATACCAAAATATTAACAGTGGGTATCTCTTTGTGGTGGTATGATTTCTTTCTTTATGTTTTTTAAATATTTTTTGAATGCCCTCTAATGAGCCTGCATTATAATTAAAAACATTTCAGAGCACAGTTAAGGCTTGTGAAATCATGAGTTTCTATTGTCTAAGGAAGGCACTTTCAAACTGAAACTAAGGCTCTGATTGTTCAGTTTCCAGATGGAAGTTCTGTCAAGTTTCATTTGAGCTCAACCTCTTGGCTTATCCCACAGTTGGAGGCTTTCCCCTTCCCCACTGCCTCCTGCCCTTGCACCGCTAGGAATAGGAAAAGTGGGTCATGCTGGGAGCATGCTGGGACAGAGAGGCAGGAATGACACCTGGCATATGGGAGGTGACCCAGCGGGCTCCCTTGTGACCTGGACATTCCCAATTCCACACTAAATATCACTTAGTGATTTCCTGCTCGCTTGTCTCCCAGTGAAGACTCCGGAAACAACCCAGGCTTCATAAATGTAAAAAGCTTCCCAAGGTTTCCCAGAGGCGGGCCTGCAGGGGATTTCCTGTTGACAGAAACACAGGAAGATACAGTGCGGGGGCTGCCCGAGCAGGGGGGCGGGTGGGGGGGGTCAGGGGGGTGGGAACACATCTTTGCCCGAGTCCCTCTGCTGGTCAGTCTCCTTGCGGGCTTCTGGCGCTGGGAACCCAGCTAAGAAAGCAGGATGGGCCCTCCTATCGCAGCCAACCGGCCGGCCTCAGCCCAGGCCTTGTTCCTGAGACAGCAGAGCTCAGTGTCAGCAATGTCCTGTCATTCCCCAGCAGTGCTCAGATTTAACACGCAGAAATAGCAAGAGAAATATTGAAGATAAGTGGGGGGTGGGGGGGTGGGGGGGAAACCTAGAACATTCAAGGTTCTAATACAAATCTGCTGTAGGATTTTTTTTTTCCCCTGGTGATCTTAGGGAACTCCACAACTGAGGCTCTAATCTCTTATCCTTATCAGTGATTAGTAAGTGCACACTGGGAATTTGGTGGTTTGGGGGCCGATTCCCTGTGCAAAATAACTCTGTGCACAGCACCCAGAGTCGTATTTCATTAGATGAGCCTGGCCAGTCACTCCAGCCTTGGGCTCACAACTGCCATCTCTAGATGTTCCCTGCTCTCAGCTGCCCTCCTTAATTAGCCTCTGTTAGTGGTCTGTCTCTTTAACTGGCCTGTCTGTCCGCCTGACATTCAGCATTCCTCCTGCTTTATAGCGCTTGTTATTCCTGATTGTCTCTAGCATGTGACCGCAGCGAAATAGCCTTATATGGCCAAAGGGAGATTGATGAATGTCTGCTCCGGACACTCTTTAAAACAGTAGGATGAACAGGGAAACAGCAGGCTCTTGTGGGAGGAGAAAACAATGTTTATTCCAGAAAAACCTAGAAGCATCTGTTCACCTAGGTAGGAAAAAAAAATCTATTTTGAAGCTTCCTTTATATAACTGTCAATAAATGCAAAAACTGGGGCCTCTTTTAAATGCCAAAAATTATTCTGAGGAAAGGCAAGTTATATAAATTGAGGCAGAAGAAAAGTAGTAAGTTGCTTCACAAGTGGTTTTTTTTTTTCCTCTCATTAATTAATGTTCCCTCATAATGTGCGACCTGCCCTGCGTCAGCTCTTTGGGAAGTGAGGGGGGTGGTGAGGAGGAAAATTTGGAAAAGAAGTTTGGAGGTGGAGAGAGAAGGAGCTTGTGAAACAGGCACAAGGAGGTTGTTTCAGCTGGGAGGTGGGTGGGCAGAGGTGGAGGAGGCGAGGAAGGTGCCAGGAAGATGCTTCTCTCACTCTGAAGACATTCCATCTGAGGTCACTTTATCTTTGAATACATACTGTAAATAAAACCCCCTTTTCTTCTTTTTAAAACAGGAACCACTGGAATTAAAATTTCCAAACATCTCTTATCCTGCCCTGGGGCTCTTAAAGGTAAAATCATAGTTTCTAACAGACTGGTGTCACCGGGGAGTCTGAGTGATTTATGTCCGTTCATGAATGAAAAAGTGTTCCTTTTAGAAGTCTCCTTCTCCTTTGAGAAGTATAAATACTTTCAATTTTTATTGACATTCAATTACAATGAAAACATCTGTAGGTGTTTTTCACTTGAAATAAACCCAATATTTTGTATTTGAAATCTAAGTTTACAGAAAATAGACATTTCAGAGGGATAGTACTTGTCTTACAAAGGGATCCTTTTCTTCAAAAAATGTTGGGTCATAGGATTGATTGATTGGTTGTTTGGTTGGTCGGTCGGTTGATTATATTGGGGCAGCAAAACAAGGTTTATTGAGCCATAGCAAAGTGATACTACAAAGCTCCCAAGGAGGGAAGGGACCCGAGGGGGTTGTACCATAGGATCCATTTAAATAGCCAGCCCCCCTAGTACATTTTTTGTTTGTTTTGTTTTGGTGCGAAAAGGTGGTTTTATTAAAGCACGGATATAGGATCTGTGGGCAGAAAGAGATGCCCGCCCCCCCAGTATATTTGAAGTAGGTTTTGATTTTAAAACTTCGACTTTCAGAAATATATAGCCCTTATGTAAAATCAGGTACCAAGTAAAACATTTGCAAGTTACAGTCCATGCCCCACCCATTTCAAAGTGTTTAATACATTTACCGATGCATTTATGATATAATAAAAAAAATTGAGACAGTTCCTTGGGGTATGTAATTGTGAGATTTAATCTATCCAAGTATGAGCCGGATGGCCTACTTAATGCAAATAGTTAAGAATGATGTAATACAAAGGCATGTATATTATGCCTCTCCTTCCGTGCGTGCATATGTATGCTATAATGCTTAGACTATTTCTGGAAAAATATACCAGAGAAAAAGGAGAAGCTGAATCTGGACGGGGGAATGGAAGAACTAGAGTGGTGAGGAGACTTTGCTATATTCTGTATGAATTTTATTTTTACCACTTGTAGGCATTTTTTAAATAAAAACCTTAATTTTTAAAAGTATATACATGGGACCAAACTGGTTAAGTGAATTATTCCAGTTGGATACTGAGGTGAACTCAAAAATCATATCCTACTCCCTCAGGGCAGAGCGCCAGCTGACTCCTCGACAGAATAAAGTGAAGACAATGATTTTTTTGTTACTATTTCTAGAGACTATTATTATGTGGTTATCCATTTAGGAATAATTGTGGAAGGAACTAAAATCACGATTGGTGCGTTTTTCCTACTTTTCCCCCTTCCTGTTCCCAGCTGAAGGGTTTGATCTGCCAAAGAAGAAAAAAAAAATGATCGTAGTAAGTTAACACAATTTTAAAGAAGTAAGAATGGGGACTTCTTCTGTTCTTGTAGGGCTGTCTCCACATGAATCCTGCTGAGAGACTGACATGTGAACAGCTGTTACAGCATCCATATTTTGACAGCATCAGAGAAATGGGGGCTTCAGCCAAAGAGCTTGACGGACCGATAAGGAAGACCCTAAGACAGAGCCGAAAGCACCTGCCTGGGGTAAACATGGCGCGCTCTTTTAGGGAAGCATCCAGGGTCGCACTTTCAAATGATCTCATGCCTGCCACCTGGTGCAGAGAATCTGCATCTCCGAATGGAGGTGGCAGCTGCGGCTTGCAGCTCCAGCACCCTCGTTCCAGCACGAGGAGAAAGGTCCTATGATCTCTCAGCCAGGGCATGCGTCCGAGGGCCCCTTCTCCCTGCATCCTGCAGGTGTCCTTCCCTGCAGTTCCTTCCCTGCTGCGGCAAAGCAGCCCGGGACAGCGCCGTGCGTGAGCACAGGGCTGAGCCCTGCGGAGCCTGCTTTTTGTGCTCTGGAGAATAAAATCCAGTTGATCCTAGGCAGCTCTCTGTCATCATGTTTACTCTCAGTATTGACTGACATTTCAGGTTTATCCAAAAATGGAACCGTTTCCCCCTCGCATCCTTTAATCATCAGAGTTGGCTGGGGTAGATTCGGTGGTGCGTGCTCTCAGTGGTATCCACCGAACAGCTTATTTTATCAGAGAACTGCGTCCCAGCTGCACACTGGGAGCCCGTGAAGAACATGACTGGATGAAGTAGGCATAGTAGCCTTACATTAAGCGACTTGTCGTAAGCCAAAAGCTCTAGTAATTTAGGATGGACTGTAGTTAGAACCACAACTAAGATGAGCTGGCTACTCCTGGTCCCTTCTGGATCTGCTTAGGGAGGCCTTAATCTGTAAATTATTATGCCCTAGTCTTTCCCCTGGCAGCCTCCACTGCCCAGTGTGTTGAATGGCATCTGGGTGGTATATGTGAGGTTTGGAGGAGAGAAGAGGATGGACAATCCATTAGGAACAGGTACAGCATAAACTGCAGGGTCCTGAGATAGACCAGAGTTGCAAAATTAAGAAAGCTTTATTTTGTTCTCTGTCATATATGACCCAGGTAACAAAACAGGCCGGAATAGACAACCGCCCCTGCCCCCAGAGTTACCACTTAGCTTGCTGTTCCTTTGTGTTCAAGAGTAAAGGGTCTTTGATGGGAATATTTCTACTTGAAAGAATAGGGGAACCCACTAATTGATGTATTGCATATAGGCTCTGAAGGATTCAACTGTTTGAAGTATTAAAAAGTAACCACTTTGCAAATACCTAAGGCCATGTAGTACAAAACACATATATTTTTTGTATGTTCTCCTTGCTTTCATTTGATATTAACAATAAATTCAAACATTTTCTGGGGGCATGAAGGGAGCCGTTTTGCCTTTTGAACTAAGATGTAAGGGGGCAAATCACCTAAGTGCTCCAGACGTCAGTTTTCTTTGCTGGCAAGACAAGCTTTGGCTTAAATGATCCCTGAGGCCCCAGCAAGCTCTTACCTCCTGTAAATCTATGGTTTTCTTCCCAATAATGTTAACATGTCAATTTTTCTTTTTCATATTCTCTAAATTTTCTTGAATGTGCATGTTTTGCTTTTTAATATAAAACAAATCTTTAAAAGGAAAAAGGGAACAAATTTAAACATGTTGTCCTCAGGTCCTGGATTCTGTGCAGAAAAAGTATTTCTGGGCTGAAAAATTGACTGACTTACCTCTTTTGGGATATGTACTCAATAACGAAAAGAGCACACGGCATTGAACCTCATCCTGTGTTTTGTATTTGCAGTTGCAGGGCCTACCTCAGCTGACCAGCAGCAGCTTCCTTCCAGCTTTGGATAATAAGAAGTACTACTGGAATATGAAGAAACTGAACTACCAATTTCCAAACATTTAAGGAGCTTGGAGATGGATGATGAAAAAGGAGTTAATAATTTGGAGAAAATAAAATGTATACGTTTGCTTGAAAACAATCATGATGTTGAAAGAACATTAGGAGAATACATAAGTAATAAACGTTGGGGGGGGTTAGGGGGAGGGGGGAGGCCACCTGGCAGAACAGAAAGGGAAATTCCAGAGGCAGCCTTCCAGGCTTCACGATGGTGATCAGAACGGAAAGGAAATACTTGTTTGGATTTTCACTTGCATTTTTGTTGTATCTAAGTAGCTGAGCTAAAGGACAGAAATAAAAACTGTACTTACTACCCCTATCTCTGGCAAAATTAGAAATGTAAGAAGGATTTATGCTTCTATTGTACCATATGCAACAAGTGAAAAATGGATTACAAAATACCCATATGTAATTCTTGCAGAGCTTTTGCCTTGAGTCCTAGCCCCTGCCTTTTCAGACTGTCTCAACATCATTTTTTTTTAGATTTTTATTTATTTATTCATGAGAGACAGAGAGAGAGAGAGGCAGAGGGAGAAGCAGGCTCCCAAGGAGCAGGGAGCCCGATGTGGGACTCGATCACAGGACCCTGGGATCATGACCTGAGCCGAAGGCGGATGCTTAACCATCTGAGCCACCCAGGCGCCCTCAACATCATATTTAAGAAGAGTTTTAGTTCCTGAAATCAAAATGCTTACAATTCTATTTCCTGCTTGCTCTATCTCTAGCTTTTCATATTTTAAAACATTTTTAGAATATTTGAGTTCAAAATACTTAAAATCATGGATTATCGTTAACAGCATGACTTGCTTGCATATTTAATTATGTTTATAGACATTTCTTACATATACTTTTGTCTTTACCTTTAGTAAAGGCTGCACCTTAGTCATTTTTGCAGGCAAGATGGGTTTACATAACCCCTCTCCAGGTGACCCAGTTCCCCTTGCAAACCATGGTGTGAAGCCTGGCAGCTGACCAAGGCTTGAATCAAGGAGTAGAGCAAGACCTACAGGCTTCACGGGAACCGAGCCTATCAGCCTGAAAGTAATTAGTTCTTCATTCTCTCCAGCTCCGCCTCAGACTTGGAGACAGATCTACAGGCAGGACTATCTATAATGATCTGGGTTTTGGAAGAAATTGCTTGTGGGTTTTTACTCGGACCATAAAAGACATTAGGTTGTAAACTGAGATTGTCCCTGAAATGCCTTTTAATACTGTATGTATGTGTGTGTGTATATATATACACACATACGTATAAATACCTACACGTGTGTGTGTGTATACATATACTATGCTAAGAACTGGTAACAACTCAGAAGAAAGGAGTCCAAAATGATACTGAGGATTCCTAGCTTTGTCTCGTGATACTTCAAAGGATGACATATAATCAGCTTGGACTTGGCCTGCCGCTCCTGTTCCAAACGCTTTCTCATCCTCGTCCCTGAACACGGGGCAAGGTGAAGCTCATGTCCACTGCCAGTTTCGGTTGATATGCTGCTGTGGCTTCCTCAGTGGTTCCCAGCCATGCTCTTTGAAATTGCATTTTACGGTCTCTTCAAAACCTTCCTTCTGTGCTCTGGTAACTTCCTTCATGACAGCATTTGACTTTATTCACTTACTCCTAAGTAACTCACCAAATTCGGGAGTCTGTTCAATAATTTTCGCTACTCCAGCCAGTTGAATGATACCCTGAGGCTCCCGGATGTATGTAGCTTCTGGCGAAGAGCTGACAGGGGTTAAATACTAGTCCCAGCAGTATCTAGTTCTTCTCACGTGGCTTTGATTCAAATGACAAGGAAGGACATCCCACTTCTGTTGACATTTTCTGTTTTCCTTTTTAACCCAAAACCATGCACTTGACAGGCAGATGACTGTAACTGCCTAATTCATTCAGTAGTTCTATAGAAAACCATTCAGAATACAAAAGTAGTTCTAGACTAAATTGTGGTAAATCCATTGCCTCACCACACAATAATCAAACAAATCTGAGATGGAAGCGTTTTTTCTAATGAGTTCTATTAAATGTGTACCAATGCTTAATTTAACCACATCTGTAGTCCTTCATTCAGCATGGATTCACCACTGTTTCACATGAGACTGTTCTATATCCTAGTCTTGTTTTTTTTTTTAATTTACTGTGTTCTGATTTTATAATTGACAGTGGCAATTCTATTTGTAAAGAGTATATCAATTATGGCATGTGCTATTTACATAAGCTGGCTTCTAAACACAACTAAAATTCATTTTTCTACCCAAATGCTGCATCATACAGTGTTTATTTTAAAATTATTTCTAGTCAAGGTTATAGTTAAGAGCATAATGTTCAAACCAAACATACAGAAATCTACAAACAAGTTGGCATATAATTAATAGTAATAGAACCAGGGGCATTTCAAGGTAAAAATAAAGATCTGTTTTTATCCATATATGATATTCTTTGTCACTGCTCTCTAGATATAAACTGAATTTTGCGCTTCTACCTTTTTTTTTTGCACTTCTTTTTGATGTCCCCTGAGCCCATAGGAAGCAGTATCCAAGATGTGTGGGGGAATAAAAATTAGTTTCTAATTGACATGTTAAAATTTTCTATTTAAAGCAATATTTTAATTTAAGCAAAAAGTAAGTATAATTGTGCTGGTCTTTGTGATCATTTCCTCTGTTTTATTGCAGTCAGCAAAACTATTTCAATTCAGCCAAATATTTATGTCTAGTTTTAATAAAACCCTCGACTAAGCTTACAAAATAGACAAATTAGCCAGAGAAAGGTGTATGTTATAAAGAACACAGGAATGTAGGATCATGAGAAATGCATACAAATCCTGGGAAGCAATATGAATGCCTCAACAACCACTGACCGCCTTTTATGATTGGCTCCACCAATGAATCTGAAATTTAGCTTTCAGTTTCTCATAATTGTACATTTATAGTAGCATGCTTCAGTAACTTTAAAAGGTAACAGTCCTATAAATTACTGATAAAGTACAATAAAGAATATCTGTTGCACATTTAAATAACTTTTTTAGTTTTTTAAAATATATATTTTTAAAGATTTTATTTATTTATTTGACAGAGAGAGAGCACAAGCATGGGGAGAGGCAGAGAGAGAAGCAGGCTCCCAGCTGAGCAGGGAGCCTAATGAGGGGCCCGATCCCAGGACCCTGGGATCATGACCCGAGCCGAAGGCAGATGCTTAACCAACTAAGCCACCCAGGGGCCCTAAATCACTTTAAAGAACTCTGTCTTTATCTACATAAGAGTTATCTACATAGATATATAAAATGAGGAATACATTAGAATTAAACTGCTACCTGGTTTCCATTTTTCTTAAAATGATTTAATGTGCATAGACTGAGTCAAGTCTGAATATTTATTCTCTACATGATGGACTCTCTGCTTCTGAAATGTCATGATATAACATCCTTAAGGTCTGTTGATGATTATATAATATTTATTGCTGTTTAGGGTCAACAATTTCAAATGATACTTTATATTGAAATAAGACACCTATCAAATATTATTATTTTACTTCAAGTCTAACTTTAGTTCCAGAGAAGGCAGTGCTGTCTTAAAGGTTCGGATAAGGTTTTCTTTTTCTCTTACTCCAGGAAGATCACTTAACAACAAGTACTTGAGGTTTCTGCAAAAAAAGAAGGAAAAAAAAATGTACTACAGTTGGCCTTTACTCTTACAGCATTAAAATTAAACTCCATTAAAGGCTTTTAGAAAAAATGACACACAGAATGTACTTATATCACACTATACTATACTTTCAAAATGACTTAGAACAGCAATTTTAAGAATGCGACTTTAAATGAAATTCATGCTAGGAACTAAGCCAAACCTTGGGAAGTTTAGTTGTTCTGAATTACATCAATAATTCTAGCTGAATCTTTCCAAATACTATACATGTATTATAGCATAGAAGTCCTTTGCATGTGAAATACGAAATATGAGTCTTAATCTAGAAAGGGAAAAAAATTGGGGAAGTTCTTAAAGGAACTTCATTAAAAGATGAAGCCTCAAAGCCTCAACTAATGTTAAGAAACAGTCTACTACTTTTGGTTCCAATGTTTAAAATTTCTCTACTAAAAAGAAAGAAACTTAAAAAAAGCAGGGGGAGAATGCCTGGCTGGCTTAGTCAGAAGAGCATGCAACTCTTGATCTTGAGGTCATGGGTTTGAACCCCACATTGGGTATAGAAATTACTAAAAAAAAATAAAATAAAATTTCTTAAACTTCCTGTGATACTTTTTTTTTTTTTTAAGATTTATTTATTCATTTGAGAGAGCGAGAATGAGAGAGAGGGAGGGTCAGAGGGAGAAGCAGACTCCCCGCCGAGCAGGGAGCCCGATGCGGGACTCGATCCAGGGACTCCAGGATCATGACCTGAGCCGAAGGCAGTCGCTTAACCAACTGAGCTACCCAGGCGCCCAAACTTCCTGTGATACTGAGGTTACTGTCAGAACATGGGAAAAAAATGCTTTAAAAGATGGAGAGGAAGCATAATAGCAAATGCCCACTGGCTGCTTACTGGAGCAGGCACCATGCTAGGTGCCTTAATTATTAATAAATAATTATTATTATAATTAATAAGGTGGTTGTAGTCCTTCTGCCACCTCTCCTGGCCATGGTAGCGCACCATGGCCCCACAGCGCAGCAGCCAAATATATTTATTAAGTAAATACTTTTTTAAAGAGATGTCCCCTAAGAAATGCAATATAACAATAACAATGTATTAAGGTTGATAATTTTAACTGTTTGAAAGTATTACAGATGAAAGTTAAGTCATTTTATGTATTTTTTCCAAATTAAAAAAAGGCGCCACCTCTCAACTGTTTTATTTATTTAGTTTTTGAAAAATTTTATTTATTTATTTGACAGAGAGAGACAGCAAGAGAGGGAACACAAGCTGGGGGAGCGGGAGAGGAAGAAGCAAGCTTCCCGCTGAGCAGGGAGCCCAATGCGGGGCTCGATGCGGGGCTTGATCCCAGGACCCTGGGACCACGACCTGAGCCAAAGGCAGACGCTTAACGACTGAGCCACCCAGGCGCCCCTCAACTGTTTTAAATTCTAATTATTCAGGGCACTGGGCTGGCGCAGTTGATAGAGCATGCAACTCTTCATCTCAGGGTTGAGAGTTCGAGCCCCACACTATGGATAGAGTTTACTTAAAAAAAATTCTTTTTAATTTAAATTCTAATTATTCATTTTAACCTCATTATCAAGTTTCCATTTTGGCGCTGACCACCTACCTTAAGTGATATAAAGCAATGATGCCTCTGTCTGTGATATTCCCACATGAAATTATCTCCATTTCCAATATGCTTTTTTGTAAATTTTCAAGTTTACCAAGTCTCTCCAAACAGTCATCCTCAATATAATGACACTTGCATAGTCTTATTTTTTCAACATGCTGTAGGCCCTCTGGGAGATAAAAGATACGTTTTAGGAACCTGCTTTACCATTAAGATAACCAACTGTCCTAGTTTGGCCAGGACTATTCTGGTTTTAGGATTGAAAATCCTATGTCCTGGGAAACCTCTTAGTCCCCGGAAGACTTGGATGATGAGTTACCCTAATAACCATACAAGGTATTCACTATACAGGTTGTGCTGATGGACAGGACCATTCTGTAATCAGATGCCCAAGTACTGGAGGAAAGAAATGCCCACGCAAGCAGAAAATGTATGGGTATGATCATTCTTACATTACTGAGAGTTTCTCAAATGATGGAAATTTGACCAAAATAGTTTGATAAACAAGGCCTTGAATTTTAAACCAATAAGCACAAAATAAAGGCATGCAGAGACAAGCTTAGTGAAGGGAGAAAGGAGAAGAAGGCGTTTGTAACCTCTATTTAATTTTAAAGAATCACACACAGAAATAAAGACTGGATGGTACTGGAAAGGCAAAAAGGAACACACCTATGACTATAATAGTGAGTCACCTGCAACAAAATGTCATTGCAAATCACCTACATTTCCCATAAGCAAATGACAGGGTAGTTACCCAGGTGATCAAATCCAATTCTCATGATACAAGAGTCGGTGGCATCAATCGCCTGAATCTTGTATTTGTCCAGAGGTCCGGTTGGGAGGTGGTTGTAGTCCTTCTGCCACCTCTCCTGGCCATGGTAGCGCACCGTGGCCCCACAGCGCAGCAGCCACTCAGATGCTGCCCTATCGGGTCCCACATCCTTGATGCGTTCATAATCCACTCTGTTGGCAAGAGAACAAAAGCGGTTCGTTTTTAGTATAATCACTAGCTGCTTAACTTTAGTCATCAGCATAAATACACTGCTTCAACAGCTTTTCCTTTCAAATGACTGAGGAGGGAGATAAGTATATTAGGAAGAGCCAGTAAAGAAAACATGCGATGGCTCCTCCTGCTCCCTTGTTTTTGTTTCCAAGTGAACTCAGTCAAGGCCTATTATTTTTATATGAGTTCATCAGGCAGGCATGAGTCTTCATTGATTCGTATGTAGCACTGTGCTTGACACCAGGAGGTACTCAGTAACCATGTATTGAGTGAGTGACTCTACTTGGTTATTGTTTTTATTAATGATAAAATATAAAAGGGAGTAATTTTGAATCTATGTTCAAATTAATCTCATTAAGTGATACTTATTAATTTCTACATATACTCTTCTAATTAGTCATGTTAATGCTGTATTAAGCAACGAGATTAGTTTCATTAGTTTCAAAATGGTATTTCTAAGTATGCCACCCACTTTTTGAAAAACTTGAGTCCCCCTGGTAGTATTCAAAAGGCTAACTATATCCCTTAAGCCATAGTATATTCTAAAATTACATTTGCTGAGCTTTTCTGGTTACAAAAATAATATATTTTCATTTCAGAAAACTTGAAAAGCATCAAAAGGACAAATAAGAAAAATCATTGAAATCCTACAACGTAGTCAGTTAATATTTTGTAATCTATTTTTCTGGTCTTTATTCAATGTCTGTGTGTATGTTTTATTTGTTTTTATATAAAATTAGGATCCTATTGCACACATTGTACAAAAAAGCATTTGAAATACAAGAAATAACCAAATTAGCTACTGGGAACTCATGTAGCTGTAATAATACCCACGTTTCTTCACTTCAGTTAGAGTAACTTACTTATTAAACACTGCATTCAACCAGCCCCAGAAGTTTCTGCAGTCACATGACCATGGGAGTTTCTTTAAGCCACATAACTGCTGGGAAATTTTTCCAAACAGCATCATTTGATCTAGACACACAAAACAGTATCCATATTAGATCATTAGCTGGCAATCTGAGTCCCATATATCCAGTAACTTACTTTACAATTTCAAAGTCAATGCTCTTGTGCCAATAAAGCTGATGAGTCATTTGCCACTCAAAGTTTTTGAGCAAGTCACTCCTGTCTCTGTTTCTTGGTTTCTTTGCTGCAGAAAAGAGGGGCTGGACTGGATGGTCTTCTAAGGTTCCTTCCAGCCTTGATGTTAAGTTTCACTCTTCACCCCTCAATTGGAGTCCGCCCACAGTGTTGCCAGCAGATGTCCATCCAGGCAGTGCACCCACATATTTGCTGAAACCAGCTCTGCTCCCAGTCTACATTTCCAGTAGCAAAAGGACAAACTGAAATCACCTAGGAGCAGTGTGTCAAAGTTAAGATGCTTATAGCCAGGGAGGGAGAGGAGACATGAAAACAGACCTCTCTATGCCAAGGCTGCAAGTACTATCACCAGAACAGTGCGAAGAACTATGCAAGGGCAGCTAGGAAAGACTGGGCAAGTAACTTCACCTCGCTGACCCTGGGTTTTCTCACCTGTAAAATAAGGTGATTTGCTCAGATGATTTCCAGCTGTAAAAATTTATAACCATGAGTTGAGAAAGTGATTTCTGAACTGAGTCTCAATCTGATTTATTTCAGTTCAAGTTTCTCTAGTAGTGTGCTACGTTGGGGGAAAACAAAGATAAATGAAATGTGGTTTCTGCCTTTGAGCTGCTGAAAACTGAATGCAGGGTGAGTGAGCTAAAACAAGTTACCAGGTAGTTGAAATAAATGATAGAACCTGAAAGATTCCTCAAAGAGTTAAAATAAGAACGGACCAGGATTTCAACGGGAGAAGGTATGTCAAGTGATTAGCTGAGGCAGAAACGTTTAAGGCATGTTGTAGTTCAGTTTGGTGAGTACATGGGGATCCTTAGAAGAGGACGCAGACAATTTGCACAGTCACATCAGGAAGGGTCTCACATGATCAGCAAGGGAATTTGGACTATCTGCTGCAGGCAGGTGGGTCACTGAAGTTTAAGCAAAGAGCACTGGCATTGTTAGAGCTATGCTTCAGAATATTACTTGGACAATAGCATCAAGATTGAGGGTCAATAAAACAGAACAGAGAGACAGCTAACAAGGGCTTCAACTACATGTGGCCATGGGAAAGGACCAAGTGGGGGAAGAATGGGAATGACATTACAGGGTGGTTTCCACATGGCTCAGTGAGATGCTGAGACAAGGGCCAGAATAGTTGAAGAGGACACTAAGTTTTGGTCCCAGGTCACTGGTTGATGCCACATGTCAATGTCAGGAGGACAGGTTGTAGGTTTCCCTCACCTCCATCCCCAGTTTTTCATATTCTAAATATGAAGTGTTAGCAGAACTTCTAAGTGGAGATAACCAACAAATCATTAGAATCAGAGTCACAAAATGGGAGAATTGGAATGAATTTAGACTACCTAGACCATCTACAGATGAGGAAACTGAAGCCCTGATATTAAGAAAATTACTGACGCCCTAAATCCCTTCTGGAACAAGGTGGGGTATTAATAAATGCATACATTTAAAAGGACTTGCTCAATGTTTCATGGCTAATTGGTGGCAGCACTGAAACTTAAACCTAGTTCTCCCTTCTTCCAGTCCAGGGCTTTTTCCTCAGTCCTGGATGGTACTAGAACTGGGGAAAAAGAAGACTAGAAAGAGGCCTTAAAGCCAAGAAGTGACTTAAGATGTTGAGGTTCTAGAACAGTGAGAGATGAGGTCTGAGGACAGACCCTGGGATCATCTCCCCTCTTCATCTCTTTTAAGATTTTATTTATTTGACAGAGAGAGAGAGCGCACAAACAGGCAGAGGGGCAGGCAGAGGGAGAAGCAGGCTCCCCGCTGAGCAGGGAGCCTGATGTGGGACTTGATCATAACCTGAGCGGAAGGTAGACGCTTAACCAACTGAACCACCCAGGCACTCCTCTTCATCTATTTTCTACCATCATCTGCCTTCATTCCTGCAACCTACCCCCTGCTATCACTCTCTTGTTTTCAGCCCTTCCTGGCTTTTTGTTAAAGCTCTCTCCACCTGTGCCCACCTTTGGTAACTCGACTGGCTGCCAATCTCATTTATCTGGGCTTTCCAGCTTCAACTCAGGCTGTCCTATTTACTGTCCCTCTCTGCCCCACATCCCCATCCTGTCTGTGGAAATCTTACCCAACCTCGAGACTTCATTCAAATGCCATCTCCATCCATCCATTCATTCATTCACTCAGTAAGTATTAATTGAATGTCTGCTATACCTAGTGCCAGAGATATAATGGTAAGATTACAAAAACAACAAAGGAGAGACAAAGACAAGGTTCCTTATCCTCACAGAATGTATAGTCTAATGAAGACAGACAACATAAGAACAAATAAATAATATGCAATATATCTTAATAGAGGTATGAACAAGTTCTGTGAGAGCCGAGAGGAGGGAGTGAAGAGAAGGCTTCACACTAGAGGTCTTTTGAGATGGGTCTTAAAGGATAATTAAGGGTTTTGAGTTAGGCCGAAAAAAAGGAAAGTATGCAGAGCAAAAAGGACAGCAAGGATCACATCTTATTCATTGCTATTTTTCTTAGCACTTAGCACATTCCCATCCCCCTAATGCAAGAGTTTAATAAATATTTGCTAATTAGTAATCTTCAATGGTTAGTATATTTCCATAGAGAAAGGTAAAACCAGAGAGACAGTTATTAAGCAGGTAAATTAGAGTGGTCTGTGAAAATTGAGTACTTTCACTTGATTCATTTTGGTTCACTTCATAATTCAGCTTAAAGGAAAGGCTAAATTTACACCCACTATGACCTCTAAAAATATTAGATGTTATATTTAAAATAATTTAAACATGACTATAAAAATTTTACTTGGCAATAAAGATAAAAAAATTGGTAGGTTTTTACATTTTCAACTGTGCCTGTGTAACTGATTTTAGAAATTGCAGATGAATTCAAGCAGCTACCTCGGGGAGTTTTCTATAAGGAAAGAGGAGACCTCTAGTGGTGAGTTGGTGAATTTAGCTCTAATGATTAAAAAAAAAGTTAACAGCAAGTTAAAAAAAACAGCCACTACTAAATTATTGCTGCAATAAATAATTCAGAAACTAAAACCACTTTAAAAAGCTCCTTCTTACTATCAGAATCTGGCTTAGAGCACATGTTTCTAAAAATTGCAATTGTGCTTGTAACTTCGAGAAGGCCAGATATCTAATGTTTTAATTCAAGATAAGATACACACAAAATGTTTCTGAGTAGGTTTGGTTGAGAGTTTCCGTTTGCATAAAATAAGTAAGTTTTTTTTTTTTTAAGTGGAAGTTCTGTTTTTACTTAGCTGGGCTATTCAAACTAAGTGGTTCAAAAGACTGAACTAAGGAACTAGTTCTTGAGGGTAAATAAAATTTGTAGGGATGGGGTGGTATTGGAATTGGGGAGCTCTTCCCCCAAATTACAGCCCCACCTCACTGCAAATCAGTGACGCCAATTCTTATTCCTGAGGTGTATAAAGTCTAACGAAATGGAACTGAAGAATTCATTAGGAATTGGAAGCGAAGTTCCCCAAAGCCATTCTTAGGCCAACATCACATGGGGCTCATTGAAGTAATACCTTATGGGTTCTGACACAGATGGAAGATTAACATGAATTCTCAACTGAGGGTGGTGTCATGAATATAGATGTCATACCAAAGACATTATGGGGTGTATGAATCAATGTAAGGTGGGCTCTTGATTTGAAATTACTTAATTGAAACAAATTAATGTACAAACCTAGGGGAGAGGATAAGAAGAAAAAAATTTTATGCAAAGAGCAGGTGTACTGTGAGTTCTTTCACCTTGCTAAACTAAGGAGCATGTACTCAAAATCACATGGTAAATAAGTCACTACTTTGGGTTCAAGTGGCCCATAAAAGTCTGACCACAGACCATAGAAATGTATAATTCTGTATTTAACCTAGTAACAAATCGACTACATCCTGTGCAAACTAAAAAACAACCATCCCCACTATATACTTATCAGCATGGCTAAAATAAAAAATAGTGACACCACCAATTGCTGGTGATGAGGAGACACCAGATCTCTCAAACATTGCTGGTGGGAATGTATAAAGGTACAGCCACTTTGGAAAACAGTTTGGCAATTTTTTACAAAACTAAACATGTGCTTATCATATGTATGACCCAGCAACTGGACTCTTAGGCATTTATCCCACAGAAACAAAAACAGGTTCACTGCAGTACGCTGATGTTCATAGCAGCTTTATTCCAAATAGCTAAAAACTAGAACAATAGAGATGTCGTCCTTCAATGGGTGAATGGTTAAACCTATTGTGGTACATCCATACCATGAAATACTACTCAGCCATAAGGAATAAATCTTTGATACATACAACCATTTGGATGTATTTCAAGGGATTATGCCGAGTGAAAAAAAGCTAATTCCAAAAAGTTACATACTTTATAATTCTGTTTATAGAACATTCTTGAAATGACAAAATTTTAGAAAGGGAGAACAGATTGGGGAGGGGGTGCCCTGCAGGAGTGAAGTATAGTTAAAAGGGCACCGGGAGGAATCCCTTGTGGTGATGTAGGGTGTTGTAGCTTGACTGTGGTGGCAACACAACAATGTACACATGTGATAAAAATTACATAGAACTGGGGTGCCTGGGTGGCTCAGTCAGTTAAGTGTCTGCCTTCGGCTCAGGTCATGATCCCGGGGTCCTGGGATCGAGCCCCCCCTGGGGCTTCCTGCTCAGTGGGGAGCCTGCTTCTCCCTCTCCCTCTGCCATTCCCCCTGCTTGTGCTGTCAAAAAAATAAAATCTTAAAAAAAAACCCTACATAGAACCAAATACACACACAAATGTAAAAATGAGGAAATCTGAATAAGATCAATGGAATGTATCGATGTCAATTTCCTGGTTATGATACTGTACTATATTTTTGCAAGATGTTAGCATTGGGGAAGAATGGGTAAAGGGTACATAGGATCTCTATTGTTCCTTAAAGTTGTATGAGACTCTACAATTATCTCAAAACAAAAAGTTGAATTTAACAAATAACCATCTTATTTTTTTTATTTGTGAAGGAAAAAGTAACATTCTACATTGTTTTCACAAATAGTCAACTGTCCAAGAAGTATAATCATGTAAACATAATAAAAGCAGTAATTTATCCAGTCAGTTGATTCTTGAGCAACCATTCCCCCAGATGTTGAAATCTGCCTAAGTTTTGACCCCTCAAATTTAATTGCCTGTTTGATTAGATAACACAGTTAACACATATTTTGCATGTTATATGTATTATATACTGAATTTTTTGGGTTTTTTTTTAAAGATTTTATTTATTTGAGAGAGAGAACGTTAGCATGAGCCAGAGGAAGAGGCAGAGGGAGAGAGAAAGGGAGAAGCAGACTCTTCCCTGAGCAAGGAGCCGGATGTGGGTCTCATCCCAGGCCCCTGGGATCATGACCTGAGCTGAAGGCAGATGCTTAACCAACTAAGCCACTCAGGCACCCCATATACTGTATTCTTGTAACAAAGTAAACTAGAGAAAAGAAAATTTTAAGAAAATGCACTTACAGTACTGTACTGTATTTATTGAAAAGTATCTGCCTCTAAGTGGACCAGAGCAGTTCAAACCCTTGCTCTTCAAGGGTCAACTGTATTCACTGTGCCAAACACCCACGAGCCTTATCTCATGTACTCCACGCAACAGCCCTATGCGAGGGACACGACTCTCACTCCTAGTTCACAGAGGAGCATGAGGCGAAGAGGCGAAATGACTTCCCCAAGCCACCAGACTAGTGGCTGGAACCAAATTCAAACAAAGTCCTCCCAGCAATAAAGTTTTTAACATTCTACTTTTGTTCTGTTCAGCTCTTCTGACCCTAAAAATTAAGAGTTGCCATCAGGCACAGAGTACAGGTGTTGAACTGCCGCGGTAACAGTGAATCACGGAACTTTTTAGGGATTACACAGCCCACCTCCCTCACCTTACAGATAAGGAAACGGGGTGAAGACACCTATACAGGTGAGTCGCTGAACCCAGCCCCGCACAGCATATTGAAAACCGTATCTCGACCCAGTATTTACGGTAAGGTAGCAGACTGCTAAATGATGGCAGAGACCGAGCCGTCCGGTTCTTCCCGGCGCTCCGGAACTACAGCACCGAGAAAGGACACGGCCAGGAGCCCCACAAAAACAAGTCCAGAAGACTGCAGGCTGCCAGGCGTTGCCGTGACAAAGAGCCTCCGTCTGGAGCCAGGGCTAGGGCTGGACAGGCAGCGCCCCTCAGTGGGCACTCGGCCGGGGGGGGGCGGGGGGAAGGGGCCCGCCCGTGGCCAGCAACCGGCCTCCAACTGGCCGGGGCCGGGCCGAGCGGGAGGCAGGCAGGCCGCTGGGCCCGCCCAAAGGAGAGTCTTCACCCCCCGCCACGCCCCGACCTTCTCCCAAAGCCCCGACGACGCTGGGCGGTGAAGACTGAGGATGCACAACTCGACAGGCCCGCTTTTCAGCCAGCCCAGCAGTGGGAGAAGGAAAAGGGCAGAGCGTAACCACCACCCTAACGCCGCCTCGCTCAGGGCCTAGCTCCTCTACTCACAGCGCCGGAGGGAGAGAGGGAGGGAGCGAGCACGCCCCGCGTCTACTGCGCCGCCCGCCTGGCCTTCGCCCTCCGCCGCGCGCGTCCATTGGCCACTGGCGCCACTCCCACGTGGGGCGTCGCACGCGCTGCATTGGCCCCTGAGTGGGAGGCGGGGCTAGACGGAGCCGGGAGCCGCGCAGCGTCCGGCTTGAGTGGCGAGTTCTGGGGGCTGAGGGAGGGCGGGGGAGGGTGCAGGCGATGGTGCCGGCGCTGCGTTACCTGAGCGGTGCCTGCGGGCGGGCCCGCGCGGGTGTCCCCGGGGGCTTCTCTGCGGCGTGCCGGCCGGCGCGGGGGAGGCCCTGGCCGCTGTGCCAGGGTGGCCGTAGAGCCAGCACCCGGTGAGTAGCCGCTGGCCCGCTCTCGTCGCCTGTGCTACTACTGCTTCTCTCCGAGGTGCCTCTTGCTGGACCTCTGCCCCTGCTCTACTTCCCGGTCCCGGGCGTGAGAGAAGGTCAGGATCCTGTGGAGCCTGGGCTCCAACCTCGGATCCCAGGAGTTACCTTGTAGGATTCATTCGTTGTTTGTGTGCGGGATGAAGAGAGTAAGGCAGTGTTGAGAGGTCTAGAGCAGTTCTGGTTTTGAATACCACCCCTCCACTTCCTATTCAGTTCTTAGGTGGGTTACTTAAGCTCCTTAAAGGCTCAGCTGTGAGTAGGATCCTAGTCTCTCCCGTACGTGGTCGTTTTAAGGCTTAAAAGGACCTACCACACTAAGCAATCAAATATACTGTTCATTTGCTGACATCCCTGGTGTTGCTTGGAAGACCTGAAACCGTTCTTAAATCAGTCGGTTCCTGGCAAGCATTGCATAGAGTTGCCCCTGTGAGAAGCAGCTCAGTTGCTAATCAAAGCCTGCACCAGTAAGTGTCCTGTGATTTGAAGTTCGGAGGTCACATTAGAAACCACCGTCTTTCTCTGCTCTGTGTGGAGGGAGTGGCTTATGCTAAGGCTTGAAGGCTGGAAAGCTCTTGGCTATTTCAAGAACTAGAAGGTGGACAAGATGAGTGTGACTGTTCTTAGTGGAACAGAGATGGTGTGGAATGACACTGGAGAGAGGCTGCATCACAGCAGGGATTTTATTTTCTTTTAACCACATTGAATTTTATTCTAAGAGCATTGGGAGGCTTTTTAAGAAGAGGGAGTGATTAAGTGTTGAGGTTTCAAAGTTGAATGGCTGCTGTGTGTTAGTGGTTTGGAGGGGCTTAGAGTGTGATAGGATTTGTGAGTCATAGTGGGGGTGTATAGACAATTATTTGGGGATTGCTTTTCTTAAGAACAGTAGGGCTAGTGAAGGTTTTGTTTATACTTTTTATTTTGAAATAATTGTAGGTCCACAGGAAGTTGGGAAAAAAAAAACAAAAAACAAACCAGATTTTATGTATCCTTCAGCCAATTTACCCCAGTGATAGCATCTTACCTAACTATAGTACAATATCAAAACTAGGAAATTGACATTATCACAATCCACAGACCTTGTTTAGATTTCATTAGTTTTTACATGCACTCATTTGTGTGTGTTTCTATGCAATTTAATCGTGTTAATTTGTGTAACTGCCACCACAAAATATAGAAATGTTTCATTACCACAAAGACATCTCTTGTGTTACAGTCCCTTTATATTCACATCCCATCTTTCCACCCTTCCTAACCCTTGGCAACCACTAATCTATTCTCTAGCTCTAAAATTTTGTCATTTTGAGAATGTTCTGTAAGTGGAGTCACACAGTATATAACCTTTTAGATTGGCTTTTTTCACACAGCATGATGTCTTTTTTTTTTTTTTTTTAAAGATTTTATTTATTTGACAGAGACACAGTGAGAGAGGGAACACAAGCAGGGGGACTGGGAGAGGGAGAAGCAGGCTTCCCGCCGAGCAGGGAGCCCAATGCGGGGCTTGATCCCAGGACCCTGGGATCATGACTGAGCCGAAGGCAGACGCTTAATGACTGAGCCACCCAGGTGCCCCAGCATGATGTCTTTGAGCTTCATGCACGGTGTTGCCGATAATGAGAGTGGGTTCCTTTTAATTGTTGAGTAGCATTTCATGGTATGGATGTAATACAGTTTCACCATTCACCAGTTGAAGGATATCTGGACTATTTATAATTTTGGGTTATTATGAACAAAGCTGCTGTGAGCATTTATGTACAGGTTTTTGTATGAACATAGGTTTTTATTTTTCTGAGATAAATGCCCAAGAGTGTAGTTGCTAAGACATACTTAGTTAGTACATGCTTAATTTTTTTTCATTGTAAGCATGGTTTATATTTATTTTATTTATTTTTAAAGATTTTATTTGTTTGAGAGAGAGAGAGTGCACGCACAAGCGGGGGAAGGGACAAAGGGAGAAGCAGACTCTCTGCTGAGCAGGGAGCCCGATCTGGGGCTCAATCCCAGGACCCCAGGATCATGACCTGAGCTGAAGGCAGGTGCCTAACCAACTGAGCCACCATGTGCCCCTGTAGGCGTGTTTTTTAATGTAGGGCCATACAAGGAATATCCATTGAGAAATATTCGTATTGATTTATAAAACTACACCAGAGCTTCCCAAGAGAGTATAAAACATGAAGTCATGCACCTGGGATCCAGGTTCTGAATATTAGAATTTCCCTTACAGAAAGACTTGAGATGAGTGGAGTCCATACTTGGGACTCAAAAAGAGACCATTATATCCTTTAACATCTTCAACAATCCAAAGAATGGCCTGAGGAAGAGTGGGAGACCAATGATGTGACCCAAATTGGGTAAGATATAAGCCCAAAGATCTGTTTTTCCTATGTACGAGTGAGACTAGAACAAAGGAATTTGTGCCACCATCAAGGCCTATAGCAATTATCTGACTGGAGTGGAGCGTGTTATACGGTGGCAAAGATTTATGTTTAGTTTTTTTTTTTTCAGGATGCCTTTTATTTTTATTTTTTTAATTTATTTATTTGACAGAGAGAGAGCATAAGTAGGCAGAGTGGTAGACAGAGAGAGAAGGAGAAGCAGGCTCCCCGCCGAGCCGAGCAGGGAGCCCGACGCGGGGCTCGATCCCAGCACCCTGGGATCACGACCTGAGCCGAAGGCAGATGCTTAACAGACTGAGCCATCCAGGCGCCCCGATTTATGTTTAGTTTTTTAAGAAACTGCTATACTCTTTCTCCAGGGTGGCTGTACTGTTTTACATTCCTACCAGGAGAGTGTGAGTGACCCAGTTCCCCCTCATTCTCACCAGCATTTGGTGTTACCATTTTTTAAAAATGTTAGCCATTCTAATAGGGGTGTAGAGATATCTCCTTGTAGTTTTAATCTGCATTTCCCTAATGACTAATGGTAGTGAACATCTTTTGATGTGCTTATTTGCCATCTATATATCTTTCCTCTTTGATGAAATGTTTTGTTCGTAGCTTTTGCCCATTTTCTAAATGGTTTATATGAGAGTTCTTTATTCTAGATAGGAGTCCTTTGTCAGATATGTGGTTTGCAAGTATATTCTCCCAGTCTGTTAGTTGTCTTCTTATCCTCTTTTTTTTTTTTTTAAAGATTTTATTTATTTATTTGACAGAGACAGAGAGCGAGAGCAGGAACACAAGCAGTGGGAGTGGGAGAGGGAGAGCAGGCTTCCCGCCGAGCAGGGAGCCCGATGTGGGACTCGATCCTAGGACCCTGGGATCATGACCTGAGCCGAAGGCAGACGCTTAACGACTGAGCCACTCAGGCGCCCTGTCTTCTTATCCTCTTTTTTTTTTTTTTTTTAAAGATTTTATTTATTTATTCATGAGAGACAGAGAGGGAGAGGCAGAGGGAGAAGCAGGCTCCAAGGAGCAGAGAGCCCGATGCGGGACTCGATCCCAGGACCCTGGGATCATGACCTGAGCCGAAGGCAGACGCTTAACCATCTGAGCCACCCAGGCGCCCTCTTCTTATCCTCTTAACAAGGTCTTTTGTAGAACAAAATTTTTAATTTTGATGAAGTCCAATTTATCAAATTTTTTTTTTTTAAATATTTTATTTATTTATTTGAGAGAGAATGAGATAGAGAGAACATGAGAGGGGGGAGGGTCAGAGGGAGAAGCAGACCCCCCGCTGAGCAGAGAGCCTGATGCGGGACTCGATCCTGGGACTCCAGGATCATGACCTGAGCCGAAGGCAGTCGCTTAACCAACTGAGCCACCCAGGTGCCCCCAATTTTTTTTATATGGATTGTGCTTTTGGTGTCTTCTACTTCACTTAGCTCTAGATCCCAAAGGTCTTCTCCTTTGTTTTCTTCTAAAAGTTTTATGGTGAATATTTGATGATATAAAATGTTTATTGCAGATTTTTAAAAAATTAGAATACTGGGGGTGCCTGGCTGGCTCAGTTGGTAGAGCATGTGACTCTTAATTTCAGGGTCGTAAGTTCAAGATCCACTTTGAGCATGGAGCCAGTTAAAATTAAAAAACAAGAACAACAAAAAACTAAAAAAATAATTTAAAAAATTAGAATACTGGTATTGTGGGGATGTTTTAAAGAGGCCTTTTAGAAATAACTTATTAAAATATTTACAGGTAATGTTTAGGATTTGCATGAAAATAATTTAATTCAGGAAGAGATGAAATAGGTGGGGTGTAGAAAAAGCAAGATTGGCCATGTTCCTATAAGACTAGATTTTTTTCACCATGAGGTAGGTGCTAAAGGTAGATTTTTCTTCTTCTCATTGCTGAATTAGATAGACTATACATGGCCTTCCTAATTTATTCTTTTAAAGATTTTATTAGAGAGACAGCCTGCGCGCACAAGCAGGGGGAGTAACAGAGGGGAAAGGAGAAAGAATGCTCAAGCAGGCTACCTACTGAGCACGGGGCTCAATCCCAGGACCCTGAGATCACGACCTGAGCCAAAACCAAAAGTCTGAGCCACCCAGGTGCCCCTGCCCTTGAATTTCAAACGAATAGATGGTAGAGAAGAGTGTGATGACTAACAGA